ATTTGCAATGGAACTGAAAGAATGCACAAAAGCTTCTAATTTGTTTCCTCCTTTGCATGTCCAAGTTTGAAATTAAAGGTGGAGTCCAAAGGAGTGGTAACTCAAACTTGTACTAGCTATGCTAAGCTCTGTAAAGTGCATTTACAGTGCTTGTCTAATTATGGGCGTTACTCTCCATCGGAGACAACTCTGCTGTTCTGCTTTTTATTGAGGAGAAATTGCCAATTATGCAACTGTTAGTCTACGCAAGCACAGTTGGAATATGAAACTTAGTGAAATCTAATGTCACTGAGGAATTAAGTCTTCCTGAATCGTACAAAGCAGATTGTTCACTACCTGTGGATTAAAGGTTTTCTCAGCATTAAAATTTATCTTGTCACTAATTCTAACTGTTTAATTTACAGGTTTATCCTAATCAAATTCTACAGAATGAAGAAGCTGAAAATAAGCATTCAAAGATCTGAAATTGAAAGATGCTTCAGTAGTAAACTTCTAAAGCTATCTGTGACATCTTGTTAGTTCATATATTCACAACTGAATGCCCAAACCTTGACAAAACGTAAGGGGTCCTTTAGATTTTTTCTGCCACATTGATAAACATGCTGGATTGTAACAGGATAGTTCTAAATGAGAGAGCAGGGGAGGGAGATGTATAAGATTCTGAAGATGGGCAAAATATTTCAAGGGGCCTAATCAAACTAGTTGTTCTGCTGATTACATTGCTGTTGATGTGCAAATGTGAGACTAAGACTAAATAAAATTCTCAATGTTTGAAGTGTGTCTAATGAGTTATCACTTTCTGTGGGAATAAGATGTGGAAATAGATCTTTAGGGAAACACCCCTCCTACGTTGTTAGCCTAAGGACAATGTTTTCAGGAGAGCTTAGCACACACATGCCCTATTTATGCTGATGAGCACTCTTGAAAGTTTGGTCCCTACTAAAATCCAAGGCCTCTATGGTGGCAGTCTCAGAAATGCTTCCAGTTCCACACGCAAGACCAGGTAGGCAGGCGGAGCTTCAGAGTCTCAATGCATGGATGAGATGATGGTGTAGGGAGGAGGGGGTTAGATTTATTAGGAACTGGGGAAACTTTTGGGATGGGGGAGCCTATACAGGAAGGATGGGCTCCACCTAAACCAAAATGGATCCAGACTGCTGGCACTTAACATTAAAAAGGTTGCAGAGCAGTTTTTAAACTAAGAGATGGGGGGAAAGCCGATGGCTGCAGAGGAGCAGATGGATCGGACAGAGACTTCTCTTAGAGGAGAGTCTATTGATAGAGATTCTCTAGGCTTTAGTCAGGAGGAGAGGATGGAAGAGGATAAAGTATGGGTCAGATCAGATGAGAAACATTCACATAAAGAATCTGATACAGAAAAGGGAAGACAAATAAACAGTGACAAGTTTTTAAAGTGCTTGTACACAAATGCTAGAAGTCTAAATAATAAGGTGGGTGAACTAGAGTGCCTCGTGTTAAAGGAGGATATTGATATAATAGGCATCAAAGAAACCTGGTGGAGTGAGGACAATCAATGGGACACAATCATTCCAGGGTACAAAATATATCGGAAGGACAGAACAGGTTGTGCAGGGGGTGGGAGTGGCACTATATGAAAGAAAATGTAGAATCAAATGAAGTCAAAATCTTAAATCCACATGCTCCATAGAATCTCTATGGATAGTAATTGCATGCTCTAATAAGACTGACAGTAGGGATCGATTATTGACCACCTAACCAGGACAGTGATAGTGACGATGAAATGCTAATGGAGATTAGAGGGGCTATCAAAATAAAGAACTCAATAATAGTGGGGGATTTCAATTATCCCCATATTGACCGGGGTATGTCACCTCAGGACAAAATGTAGAGACAACATTTTTTGACACTTTAAAGGACTGCTTCTTGGAGCAGCTGGTACAGGAACCCACAAGGGGAAAGGCAATTATTGATTTAGTCCTGAGTGGAGCACAGGACCTGGTCCAAGAGGTAACTATAACAGGACCGCTTGGAAATAGTGACCATAATATAACAACAATTAACATTCCCGTGGTGGGAAGAACACTCAACAGCCCAATACTGTGGCATTTAATTTCAGAAAGGGGAACTATGCAAAAATGAGGGGGGTTAGTTAAACAGAAATTAAAAAGGTACAGTGACTAGAGTGAAATCCCTGCAAGCTGCATGGACACTTTTCAAAGACACCATAATAGAGGCCCAACTTAAATGTATACCCCAAATTAAACAGTAAACTAAAAGAGCCACCGTGGCTTAACAACCATGTAAAAGAAGCAGTGAGAGATAAAAAGGCATCTTTTAAAAAGTGGAAGTCAAATCCTAGTGAGGTAAATAGAAAGGAGTATAAACACTGCCAAATGAAGTGTAAAAATGTAATAAATGCCAAAGAGGAGTTTGAAGAATGGCTAGCCAAAAACTCAAAAGTTAATAACAAAATGTTTAAGTACATCATAAGCAGGAAGCCTGCTAAACAACCGGGGGCCCCTGGACGATCGAGATACAAAAGGAGCACTTAAAGACAATAAAGTCATTGCAGAGAAACTAAATGAATTCTTTGCTTTAGTCTTCACGGCTGAGGATGTTAGGGAGATTCCCAAACCAGAGCTGTCCTTTGTAGGTGACAAATCTGAGGAATTGTCTTAGACTGAAGTGTCATTGGAGGTTTTGGAATTAATTGATAAACTTAACAGTAACAAGTCACCGGGACCAGATGGCATTCACCCAAGAGTTCTGAAAGAACTCAAATGTGAAATTGCGAAACTATTAACTATGGTTTGTAACCTGTCCTTTAAATCAGCTTCTGTACCCAATGACTGGAAGATAGCTAATGTAACACCAATATTTAAAAAGGGCTCTAGAGGTGATCCTGGCAATTACAGACCGGTAAGTCTAACCTCAGTACCGGGCAAATTAGTTGAAACAATAGTAAAGAATAAAATTGTCAGACACAGAAGAACATAAATTGTTGGGCAAAAATCAGCATGGTTTCTGTAAAGGGAAATCATGTCTTACTAATATATTAGAGTTCTTTGAAGGGGTCAACAAACATGTGGACATAGTGTACTTAGATTTCCAGAAAGCCTTTGACAAGGTCCCTCACCAAAGGCTCTTACGTAAATTAAGTTGTCATGGGAGAAGAGGGAAGATCCTTTCATGGATTGAGAGCTGGTTAAAAGACAGGGAACAAAGGGTAGGAATAGATGGTAAATTTTCAGAATGGAGAAGGGTAACTAGTGGTGTTCCCCAAGGGTCAGTCCTAGGACCGATCCTATTCAACTTATTCATAAATGATCTGGAGAAAGGGGTAAATAGTGAAGTGGCAAAGTTTGCAGACGATAAAGTATTCTATGTAGCAGTGCAAAAGAGGTTAGGGGTAAGACCACATCTACCATGCCATACACATTTCTGCTTTTCATCCATTAGCAAAAGCTGCTTATCTGATAATACATCTTACGTATGTTAAGAACATAAGAATGGCCATACTGGGTCAGACCAAAGGTCCATCCAGCCCAGTATCCTGTCTGCCGACAGTGGCCAATGCCAGGTGCCCCAGAGGGAGTGAACCTAACAGGTAATGATCAAGTGATCTCTCTCCTGCCATCCATCTCCATCCTCTGACAAACAGAGGCTAGGGACACCATTCCTTACCCTCCTGGCTAATAGCCATTAATGGACTTAACCTCCATGAATTTATCTAGTTCTCTTTTAAACCCTCTTATAGTCCTAGCCTTCACAACCTCCTCAGGCAAGGAGTTCCACAGGTTGACTGTGTGCTGTGTGAAGAACTTCCTTTTATTTGTTTTGATATTTGCTGCCCATTAATTTCATTTGGTGGCCACATGTTCTTATATTATGGGAACAAGTAAATAACTTTTCCTTTCTCCATCTCCATTCTGCTATCCTTGAACAAGTACGCTTAAACTTGATCAGCTTGTGCTTAGGCTGTAGGAGATGTATGGCTATATAAATTGTTAAGGTGTGGATGGAATTAAGGTTGGATACTATTCTTGAAATAAAGTGCAAGGATGCATGTAGATATGGGGAAAAGTTTGATAAGGTCAAGAGAGCAGTGCAACAGTTTGCATAATGGCCTGGGTAAGAATCTTTACCACTCTGTATCTTAAAGGTGGCTTTGTAGCCTGTGCACTTGCTCTTGAACTAAAGCAGAAATTTTTCTCTTCCCTCCCCATCATGACTTCACATTTTAGCCTCAAACTTCCTTCCGTAGAGGTTCCCTAGGAATCCTGTGTGGCTGCTCCCACGGGAGCCCTGGCAAGACTAGCCGCAGTAGTTTAAACAGTGCACATAGAATCCCAGTTGCAAGGAACTGAGCAGATGTACAGCAGCAAAAGAGCTGAGACAAGAACTGGGAAAGGCAAAGCTGGCAGATGACCCACTTCAGGGATGGAGAACAGGAGTACAAGGGGCTCAAAGAACCCTCTCAACGTTATTATTGAGTATATAGATTAACATAAATGTTCAGCGCTCAGAGGGGGGAGCGAGCATGAAGGACAAAGGTGGTGAAGATGGGGCTTCTGCCTTCTCACCTTGTTACTACTCTGACCAAATTGGCTTTAGCTTAATTACCTCCCCCTCCTCTGACTGCACTTCAGAAATATCCATGCTGGGGTTACAAGTCCTTTCTTTGCTCTGTGTGTGAATCCCATAAAATCTTACCTAATAACAGTTGTGAATTGGCTCCAAATGCTTAGAAAAAATACTGATCACTTACAAGAAACTACTCAGCCTGCTATTACCATTCAGTAACATGGAGGAGACCCAGGAAAGCACTGCTACCTATTGAATGGTTTCTGATCCCTTCAAAATAGGCCCATTCATGTTGCTTTCCCTGACCTGCCACTCCTAAGCAGAAATTAAATGAATGTTGTGGCGATGTACGCTCATGCCTGAGGCTCTGGCATTGCTTCCAAGTCGCACTGCAATTTATTTTTGGCTTTGCAGCCCTCACACGGGCGCTGACCTGCAATGAGTTAGCAGCCGTGCTGAAGGCTGGGTTGTTATTGTGGGACTCAAAGTGGTCTGAGTCTCAGACCCTTAGTGTTCAAGTTCGTTTTGACTTTTGTGGTAGTAATTTGATCCCTAATCGCTGCTCCAGGAAAATTTGGGCTGAAAGTAGACGGCAGAATCTGCAAAGAGGTAATGGTAAGTAGGGACCTGCTGTGACTAGAAACAGCTCTCTTTAAAGAAAACAAGCAGTAGGAGTACATCTACAAAGGAGAGGGGGTGGGGGGGAGCGTATGAAGCAACAGGTTAGAGCTACAATCCATTGATATGTTGTGATGTTTTATATAACACTGTACAAGTGATCACCATAAATCCTTCTCAGTTGTAAGGCAGAGATCCTTGTTTTCTTATGTGCCTGTGGCATGGTGGGTCCTTTTGGTACCATAGAGGTAATTATGTAATCTTGCTGGAGTTGAAAGCCTCTCTCAAATCCACTAGTGAATGCTAAAACCAGCAAGATTTCTGAAATAAAAGTATATTGTCTAATCAGGCCTTTGGAATAGATTGTCTCCAGTTCTGCTGTCATTACAATATTATAGCAGTGTAACTAGAATGACTCTATTTACTGCACTGGTGTCAAAGTAGAATTTGGCCCATTATCTTGCAATATTGAGCTTTACCCTTTTACCAAGTATGTTAATTTAAAGGGTGCATCAAGAGTAGAAAGACTGGTACTAACAGTTCAGAGAGATGCTAGTCCTGTATCTGCTATATTCTTTAGGGTTTAATATGGGGTGGCCAAACCATGGCTTGCGAGCCACATGAGGCTCTTTTACAGTTAAAGTGCGGCTCCTGGAGCCCACCATGTCCCTCCCCTCCTCAGTCCAACAGATTGCCAGGGATGGGGAGTTCGGGGTTTCTGCCCTGCAGCGGGGTGGTGGGGATTGGGGCTTCAGCCCTATGGGGCGCACTTGCAGGGGCCCTGAGCCTTGGCAGGCACCTCCCATGGGGCAGAAGCTCCGAGCCCCACCACTCCGCCGCAGGGCAGAAGCTCCGAGCCCCACCACCCCGCCGCAGGGCAGAAGCTCCGAGCCCTGGCAGGCATGCCCAGCTCTCGAGGTTATGACGATTATCGTATGTGGCTCCGAGGGTCAGTAAGTCTGTGCGTATACATTAAACCAGGGATGGCCAATCAGTTATTTCAGGCTCTCAAAGTTTCAAACTACATGATATGGGGATAATATGAAATGCAGACTTGGTGCAGATGTCTAGGTTTATCCATGCTGAGATAATCAATTTTCCTTCTCTAATTAAAGAGTGATATTACCCTGATAAAGAAGTCTCCTTTTACAGAACTAATAATACTCCTGGACTCTCCTGCTGTTAGTTCTTTACAACAGCTGCCTGTAAAGGGGGCCAGTGGATTTTAAGCAAGCTCCGTTAGGCTGCAGCTTGCTGCATCCATTGAAGTCTATGGGAGCCCTCCCGCTGAAGAGAACTCCAAATCTAGGTCTTTTCCCCCAAAAAATAGACAAAAAAAAAAAAAAAGACCTTAAAGGTCTGATCTTGCAAGGTGCTGAGCGTCTCCCAGGAGGTACAGAGCATTCTCAGCTCCCACTGAAGTCCTCCAATCAGGCCCTTAAGCTTTTAAAAGCCCTTAGGACCCCAGCCTGCAAGGTGTTGAGCACTTCAGCTTGGTGTAGCAGTAGAGGGCCCTCAGCACCTCATGTGGTGGGACAAGACATGACCATGAGAGAGGCCGTGTGGTGGGTGTATGTGCCCTGACACCACCTGCCTTGCCAGGTGCCACCCTTGCAGCTGAGCTCAGTAGACAGTGAGATTTTGCTATGGGTGTGGGACTCACTCCCCCTTTATACCTGCCTCAATTTCCCCCTTAAAAACAAGCCAAATCCACATGCCCTCTTGAGGACACTTTGTCAGAGGTGTGTTGGTGTTCTCTTTTCTCCGTCTGATCCTCCCCCTTATTTAAAATATCCCCTCTGTCTTGGCTTAGCTATTGGTTTATATAATGCTTGTGCACTTTCTAACTTTTATGTTATCTCCAGCAGCTGAAAGAGCTTATAGGCTGCTCTTTATAAATTAAATAGCCCTAAGTTAATTGATTGAAATTGGTTTGTGTTAGTTAAATAAGGAAGAGCATCCAGCCCTTAGCACTGATATAAATAAGCTAGACTGATATTAAGTGACTCAGAATGGAGCATAGGTCAAGACTGAAGACCTTCAAGAAGAGCGTTTTGTTTCTTTGAACCAGGCCAAGACAGACACCATTTGAGGACATGATCTGAATGCACTGCAGAGAAATGAAAGCACACCTGTAGGTATTGTAGCAGAATCATCATGTTACTGATAGGTCAAACAAAAAGACAATGTGGAGGCAAAGCTGTGCCCCTAGTTTGGGAACCCCTGCTTTATCACATCTCAATTGGGTACCAGTGGCTTTTGAAAACCTTGGCTGTTGTTGATAGTGAGAGCAGCAGTGGTTTGAGCACAGGCCTGGGAGCCAGAAACTCTTCTGATGCCAGCTCACTGTGTGCACCTGGGCATACTACTTAACCTCTGTCTCAGCTGCCTGCCCCCCGTAGCTGTAAAATTAAGATCGTTACCTTCATTCCTCCCCAGGCTTGGTGCCCGGGTTCATCCAACTATCCCTACTAGCCAGACACTTGAGCACGCTAGAGTAAATTGGACTCAAGCAGATACTTTGCTGAACTGTGGCTATAGTAGGGGTGCTGGTGCTGGCCCTTTAAACTGCTTGCTTGACTACAGGAAGGAATATCCCTTCCCTGCCGTCCCAGCAAGAATCCAGTTTTATTCACTAGAAGTTTTCCTGCAGGACTGGAGAAATTTTAAAGGGCCTGTAGTACACCCAGCAACTGGAGTCAATGATTGCTCACTCCAGGCGAGGGGTTAAGCAGACCCTGTGTGGCAGCGCTCTGGCAACAGAGCCTGTGCTCCTCGGTCTGTGAGATAACGAGCCAGGGAGCTACAGCATCGGTGCATGCCCAGTATCCTCAGTGAAAATACCCCCGTGCTCACTACAGCCTCTACTATGAGGGATGCTATAGGGACAGGACAGTCAGGAAAGGGAAACGATTTCACAAGTGATTTGGGGTACCTCAAAGTTTGGTGGCCCCAACTTGTGACACCTTAAAGTAGCCTGATTTTCAGAGGGTGGGTGGTCAGCGTTTTCTGAAGGCCCTTCTAAGGCAGCTGAAGACGGGAACCCCAAAAATAGAGGCCCGGTCATCAGCTGACCCTCAACCTGGGCTCAACTGTAGTCTTGTTAGGTCTCTTGCTCCTGGGTCCCCTATGGAAGCCGCCACCCCTGGCCAATCTCATTGTTCCTGGCAAGAGTTCAGCTCACTCTTGGGGTCTTTTAAGAGTCCAACTACAGTTCACCTGTCTGTAGTCCCTGCAGGTGCTTCCTAGGTCCTGTCACAGGCAGGAAGCAGATCTACAGGGTCCCTTGCTCACATCAGGCTCATAGTGTCCCCCAACCGGAAGGGGAGGAAAGGCTGGCTACTGCCTCAGACAGGGCAGTCTTGCTACTGGAGCTCACTGGCAATCTTCCTACACCTGGGCAAGCTTCCCCCCCCCCTCTTCTGTGGCCAATTTCACCTTCTTAAGCTCCCCTTCTCCAGGTGGTGCATGTTCTGCAGGTGGGCCTAATTGGCGCTGTTTGAGTGCAGGACGGCTGTTTCTACCAGCAGGATGGGGGGGCCCAAGCTTGTGAGACACTTTGGTCCATTAAAGTCAGTGGCATGTTTCCATAACTTCAGTGGGATTTGAATCTGGCATAGAATAGGACATTCCCTATCAGTGAAATACTCCCTTTCATTTCCTTCCCCTTCTATTGCCCACCCTGACCTTTTCCTGACTTTAGAAGGAAGCAGAAACAAGGCCAACTCCCATGAGCACTGCAGCATGCCACCTCATCAGCACTGGTGTGCGCACATATGGCGAATGAATGGACCTGGGACAGTGACGAATACAATTTTGTTTGGATTCTGGACCAGACCCTCAGAGGCAAGCAGGCTCCTAACTCCCATTTATTTCAGTGGCAGTTAGGAACCTCAGTGCCTTTGAGGGTCTGGGTCTCTGTTTCTAGTTCTAAGATCTATCAGACATCAGGACTCAGAATACAAGACAGACAAGTGGAAATCCAATAATACAGAGGTGCAGGTCCATTTTTAGCCCTGGAGACTAGAGGGCTGGTTAGAGGAAACAAAGACAGCCATGGTACTATTTAGTTGCTTTTTTTCTTGTTTTAGCTGTTTGTTACCTTGAAGCAAGACTTTAGAGTGGGCGCAGTGAGGATCCAAACATGACCAAGGAGGAGGAGCTACCAGACTGGCATTCGGCCCAGGAATTTTATCAGAATTATGACCCGAAGGAAATTCTGGGCAGGTAAAGTGGGGTTTCTTAACGATGGGCCAGTTGTTTGTAGACAGAATTGCCAAAACCTGTTTGCATTATTCACACAATTAGTCCCACTGATTTGAATAGGACTCCGTGTGAGAAAGTATTGAGTCCTATCGTCCCATGTACAAACAATGATATAGTACCTTTCATCCCCAAGTATATTCACAAAGCTGTCCAAGAATACTGAGATGTGGCTACTTCTGGAGAAGAATTATACAGCTGCGTAAGAATGAGAACCAGCCTGACTGTTTAGGGCAAAAATTGCTGGAAGACACCTCATCTGATAAAAAAAACACCTCCTGCTATCATTTTGTGCAGAGGCGTTACGTTACTAGCACTTTCTCGGGGTGCCCAGGACAGTTAGTCACTGTATTACCCCTTTCCCTCAGCAACAGAGAGCCTTGCTAGGACTAAACTGGGTGTCAGCTCCCGAACACTGCAGTCTGTTAGCCACCCAAACAATCTCCTCAGGGCTCTGCCGGCCCTTACTTTGCCTTGCAACTCTGAAGTGCTCCCCTGTAGAGTCCAGCCCCTGTCACTGGACGCTCTCAGTAACTACCAGGTTCACTATTCCCCAGGGAGCAGTGTACCCACAGCTTGATTGATACAATTCAGATTCAGGTCCTTTGTAACACCACAGCATATATGGATAGTGAAACAATCTTACGATTATTATCAAAGATTCAAATGATACTGGGGAAGGATAATGGAAACAGAAATGGTTATATGTAAAACAAAAACGGTACAGCACGCTTCTGAGAGTCTACACGTAACAAAATCCTTCTAAAGCAGTTTCTGAGGAAAGCTTCCTTGCAGCATTTCCTACCAGGACAGGTTGGGATCCTGTGCTCATGAATACAATCTCACTGCCTGATTACCTCCTCAAGAGCAGGATGCCAGAGTGCTGTCCCTGGCTCCCAGTTAGAGTCCAAATGAACCTTTGAAGTGAACCCCCAAACAAAGCACTTCCCCCTCTCCCCCACTGTTCTCCTCTTTCTGTTAAATCTTCATTTAGCTCAGATCTCTGGTCTGGCAGAAAACTGTTTCCAGAGGAGTGATACCTTAATGCAAACTATAAGGACATATTTTCAGTATATATAGAAAACAGGCGCATATGCAGAAATCTAACTTTGACACCTTTTTTGGGGGGGGGGGGGACGTTCTGTTTGCTCTTCTCCCCGCAGCCCTGGGGCTGGGAGGAGCTCGCCACCCTGGCCCCAGAGCTGGAGGAATTCTGTGCCCCCAGTGGATTACTGAGGGGGGCTGTGCCCCTGCTTGCTCCACCACCCTTTTGCATGCCCCTGATAGGAAAGATAGGATGAGGTCATTATGCTCCATCAGGAGCTCTTTAATGATGTGAAAAATCCAAAAAGGAATCCTACCAAAAGTGGAAACATGGATGAAATGCTAAGGAAGTGTACAAAAGAACAGCGCAAACATTTAGGGACAAAATCAGAAAGGCCAAGGCACAGAACGAGTTACTGCCTTTTATGTTCATTGCTAGGTGTAAGAAATGGTTCTTTAAAGACATTAGGCGAAAGATGAAGGAAAGTGCAGGTCCTCTATTTAATGGAAGTCGTGTATGTAAGGCACAGGAGATAATTGTCCTACTCTACTCGGCACTAGTGAGGCCTCACCTGGAGTACAGTGTCCAATTCTGGGTGCCACACTGTAGGAAAGATGTGGACAAATTGGAGAGAGTCCAGAGGAGAGCAACAAAAATGGTAAAAGATTTAGAAAACCTGATCTATGAGGGAAGGTTAAAAAAACCAAAACCCCAAACATGTTTAGTCTCGAGAAAAGATGACCACTAATAGTCTTCAAATATGTTAATGGGTATTATAAAGAGGACGGTGATCAATTGTGCTCCATGTCCACGGAAGGCAGGAGAAGTAGTAATGGGCTTAATTTGCAGCAGGGAGATTTAGGTTAGATATTAGGAAAAACTTCCTAACTCTAAGGGGAGTTAAACTCTGGAATAGGTTTGCAAGGGAGATGGTTGAATCCGTATCACAGGTGGTTTTTAAGAGCGGGTTGGACAAATATCTGTCAGGGACAGTCTAGGTTTACTTGGTTCTGCCTCAGTGCAGGGACTTGACTTCTTAAGGTCCCTTTCAGCCCTATATTTCTAGGATTCTATTTGCAGATACTAGATAAGGTCCACAGCAGCAGTTTGGGGAGTCAAACTAACACGTGGGAGTCCCACTGCATTTTCCATTGACCCAAACTCCCTTACCTCATCCTGTTAGCACTGTGCTAGTGCATGAGCACCAGGAAGTGAAACTGGCTAGAAATTTTCCTCCTATTCCAATCTTTTCTTTGTCTTGGTCCTGGCAGAGGGGTAAGCAGCGTGGTTCGTCGGTGCATTCACAAACCCACCAGCCAAGAGTATGCGGTTAAGATTATAGACATCACAGCTGGTAATTTATCCCCAGAGGAGGTCCAGGAGCTGAGGAAAGCCACTATCAAGGAGATAGACATCCTTCGGAAGGTCTCAGGACATCCCAATATCAGTAAGTCAAAGCATTAGTATCACTGGACACCTGGGTAACAAATTGATCAGTGGCTTTTCCCACCCCATTTTCTGTTCTAGGTATTCACAAGAGTTTTCAGATTTTGATTAATCCCTTTGGCTCCTTGAGCTGAAATCCCTACAGGGAAAGGATCCATCTTCTGTGGATGCCCACCTGATGGTGTCTGATAGCGATAGCTTGCTGGGAGTTGGCTCAAATCCTAGATGAGCAGGGCCCTCGCGAGCCCTTCTGCCACTCACTGCTTCCCCCAGACCCATAATGATCCCAGTCAGCATTGCTGGACAGAGCACAGCACCTGCTAGAAGCAAGATCCCAACGCCCCATGGAACCTGCAGCTGGGGAAGACAGACTAGATGAGGTGTTAGGCCCCAGATCCAAAGCTCACGGACGTCAGGGCTCTTAGTGGGGAATCGGTGTTGACAGACGCTATCTGTGATCCATGAAGATCTCTGCTTCAGGGCAAAGAGTGTGGCTTGGTCTACACTACAAGCTTATGTTGGTATAACTATGTCGCTCAGGGGTGTGGAAAATCCAAGTGACATAGTTAGATTGACCTAACCGCTGGTGTAGACAACTTCTCCCGTCGACGTAGCTATCACCTCTTCAGGAGGTGGAGGCCTATGCTGATGGGAGAAGCTCTCCCCGTCGGTGTAGGTAGCGTCTTCACTCAGGGCTACAGCACACAGCTGCAGCATTCTAAGTATAGACAAGTCCTGTGGGTGGCTAAAACCTGCAAATTGACACAGGGCAAGCATCTCACTTCAGAGCCTGCCGTGTTCACATTTGATTCCTCAGGACCTTGGCTTTGGTTTGCAGGCTCCGGTACCATATGTGGAGCCTGAAATTCTGCCCTGACACCTCTGGTGTTGTGTGTTTCACTTGTTAATGACTCAGCTCTTCTGAAAAGCACAGGCTGTGACCTCCCAGACGAGGTTTCCAGTTCTGCCTGATGAAGGTATTCTAGGAAATGGAAAGGCTGCTTTGCTGATTCCTGGGATTGGTTAGTTTCTCTTCATATGATTCCAGGAAGTCCCTTTCAGTGCAGTGCCATTAGAGGATCTGACCAGAGAAAGGGCTATAGGAAGGAACAAGGGGTGTAGCTAGCATCCATTTCCCTGCAGGGCCAGGATGCAGTCCTACTGCCAGAAGTTTTAGGTAGCAAAGCTGGCATTGGTGTCAACAACAACTGTCTCATTTTTCACTCTGCTTGGGGAAGGGGGAGGAAGAGCCATTCAGGAATTCTGTGGTCTGTAGGGAGGCAGAATGTAATTTCCCCAGGAGGTATTTGGCCACTGTGAGGACATACCCTTTGGTGCCAGGGGGTGAGCACAGCTAGTCAGGACTTTGGCTTGCATCTCATCTGAAAGGGGAGGCCTCTAGTAGCCCAGTGGTCCCTAACCGTGCTGGGCCATTGCCTCCTCTCTGATTCACCCACACTGCTTTCTGCAGCACTGGGTTTTCCTTGGTGGTGTCCCAGCCAAAGACGAACCAAGCTCAGCTCAGGACCCAATCCAGGAAGGTGCTGGGTGACTCCTGCAATGTGTCATGCACACTGAGCTCCCACTGAGCTCAGTGAAAGCCTAGAGCACCCAGCCACCTCCCAGGATTGGGGAGCTCTGAGATGAGCTCACATTTTCGTCCTTAAGGAGTCAGTGGATTAGAGTCTCTTTGGGGCAGGGAACATGTCTGACTGCACGTACATAGAGCCCCGTGTAAGTTACAGCACTGTCATGACAGTTGATATCATGTTTTATTGCAGTTCAGCTGAAGGATAGTTATGAATCCCACACCTTTTTCTTCTTGGTGTTTGACCTGTAAGTACCATCTGTTTTTTTTTTTTTTTTTTTGGGTGGGGGGGTGTTGTCCTCCTGTCTGTCTGATCAGTGGGGGCATGGTCTGTTCAGTGACACCCATTCAATCCTTACTGAAGTCAAAGGGGTTTACAGTAATGTATCCGACAGCAAAATCTGGCCCCTGGGATTTATAGATTTTCCTATTAGTGGTCACCATACCAAACTGAAGTTGAGACCATAAAGGAGTGGGCCCCATACCGCAATAGATCATCCTTAGCCTGATAACATGCAGGGCTGGCTTTAAAAACATCCAAGACAAGTAACAGGTTGGCACTCTGAGCTATTCCTGGCCTGATCCCCTCTCCTGGCAGCGAGTCCAGAGGAGATTTCCTTGGTGGTCTCCCCGCCAATCACTAACTGAGCTCCACTCTGTTTAGGACCCAGTACAGCCAGGTGTTGCATGGCTCCTGCAGAGTGCTGAGCATGTCCTGCTCCCAGTGACCTCCATGGGAGCAGAAGGCACCCAGTCACCTCAGCACCCAGTTCATAGTCAGGCACAGGAGAGTTGGGTGTTGTGGGGAGAAGTAACTGCCAGCCAATTACCTCTAAACCTCAGCATCTTGGAAGGTTCTGGCTGGTCAATGGAGGTGATCTTCCATAACAGAAACCAGGTGACGTGTACTTTTCTGTATGAACCAAGCAACCAGTGCAGAAAGCCTCCCAAGCGCCTGATCTGGTCTGACTCGAACACCCTCAAACTCTGGCTGATCGAGCTGGGATTCTGGTTTGGATCCAGCTCGATAACAGAGGCACGTGAAGCTGCCAAAAGAACTACGCAATCGACGCAGATCCCTGCAGGTTTCTCAGCAGCTCAACCACCCGTGCACATACAGCTGGCTTCAGCTGGCAGAGGGAAAGTTGTTCTATCAAGTAGCTGGTGCCAAGCAGTGTGAGGTTAGGAATGCGGCACAAGGCAAAAGAGGAGTTGAAGGTGGGATTTTTTTTTTTTTTTTAAATGTAGCTGTTCCTGCCATGGGTGCCAGATTTGTATAATTTTTGGTGGTGCCCAGAACGGGTCTAAGCAGAGCTGTCCCGTCCATAGGATGGACCGGGCCAACTGCCCTGGGCCCTGCGCTTTGGGGGGCCCCGTGCTTCAGTGGAACGTAGGGTCCAGGACAGCCTGAGGGGTTAGCGGGGGGCCTGGTGCCTGCAGCAGCGAGCAACCGGGTCCCAGCCCGCTCCGCCCCAGCCCGCCGGCTCCCAGTGTCGCTCGGGGGAGGGGGCGAAATCCAGAAAGAGGCGGGGCTGGCACTTGGCAAAGGGGTGGAATGGGGGTGGGGAGGGGCAGAGCAGGGATGAGAAGAGGTGGAGCAGGGGCGAGAAGAGGCAGGGCAGGGGTGGGGACTTGGGGAAAGGGTGGAGTGGGGGCGGGATGGGGACAGAGCGGGGGCAGGAAGAGGCGGAGCAGAGCAGGGCAGGCTGGGTTGCTCACTGCTGCCGGTGCCAGGCCCCCCGCTAGCGCCCCATGCTGCCCTGGACCCTGCGTCCCCCTGAAGTGCAGAGCCCAGGGAAGTTGCCTCAGTCCGTCCTAAGGACGGGATGGCTCTGAAAATATAAGCCCAAACACTGGTGGAGCCAGGCCCCCGTTCCTGAATATTGGTGGAGCACGGGCACCACGGGCCCATATAACTCAGCACCTATGGTTCCTGCGGTCCCGGCCACAGGCAAATCAATCGCCAGAGCGGTCACCGGGAGGAGGTGAAATGCATAGTCAATGACAGAGAGAAACACGATAACACTTTGCACTTCCCTAGCATCCTCCGTCTGAAGCTCTCAAAGAGCTTTACAAGCCGAGTGCACTAATCTCACTGCCCCCGTGAGGCTGGGAAATAGCGTCACCCTCACTTTACAGCTGGGGGAAGAGAGAGGGTAAGAGACTTGCCCAGAGTCACGTCCCAAGCCTGTAGCCGAGGTGGAAACAAGTGCCCCGCTTCCTGTTTCCCACGCTGTGCCCTGCTGCCTGATAACTCCATTCTGGTGGGCGGTTGCTTAGCCAGGATTACGAAGAACACGGCCTTTGAGTTTGCCTTCCAGCCACATTAAAGGTCACAACAGTCTGGTTGAGAGGGGGGAACATCCCTTTTATAGAGGGCACCCTCCAGTACTCCCTCAGCATGGCAGGTGATAAACAGGAAATCCCTGGATCCAACTGAGGGGAGAAAGGTAGCCAGGAAAGGCATGGTGAGACCTCACATGGCCCTCAGAGTGAAGGCATCTTTCTTATTGGAGATATCCTATCTCCTAGAACTGGAAGGGACCTTGAAAGGTCATCAAGTCCAGCCCCCTGCCTTCACTAGCAGGACCAAGTACTGATTTTTGCCCCTGATCCCTAAGTGGCCCCCTCAAGGATTGAACCCACAACCTGGGGTTTAGCAGGCCAATGCGCAAACCACTGAGCTATCCTTCCCCCCCAGTCTTGGCTGGCTATGATGCTGGTTCAGCTGGTGTCCCCGTTCCCACCTTACTGTTCTTCATCCCCTTCTATCAGGGGCTTCCCTGTGTACACCCACCGAGCCGGCTAGCTAAATGAGAAGTGAGCGTCAATCTCCCGTCAGCAGACACCAAGCAGGTGGCCTCTGTTCCAGTAACCGTTGCAAAAGGGCATTTGTGAATGGAATTTCACACAAGCCCAGAAAACCACCAGGCGCCCAGCAGCACTTTGCAACGTATCCGACTCTGCCAGGACTCAACGCTGCATGCCCAAGAACATTCTCTTCACTGCTAAGGCTTCAGCCTCCCCTGCCAATACAGGGCTGGCTGCACAGGCAGCCCTCCCCCCTTTCCTCCTTGTGGGAGCGAGCGGGGTTGCTCAGGTTTCCCTGTAACCTTTGGCGAGCTCTGTCATAGATCCTGGAGTCTATTTATACATTTGGCCCCGTCTGCATCCCCAGAACGATCTGTGCCTTATGTAATGCTTCAACTTCTGATCAGTCAGGGCTTGTGGTTTCAGCCAGCTCTTTAGAAGGTAACCAAGTGGAGTGGGAAAGGTGCGAGCTCTGTGGCTTAGACCTGATTTAACTCAGGGTGTGATGTTGCACCGATTTGGTTAAACCAGTGCAACTTTGTGCGGGGACAAGCCCAGAGAGATGCTTTTCTGTCGCTGCTTTGAGGTGGCTGCATTAACCCATCTTCTTACACCTCATAGCCACCCTTAGCAGAAGAGCCCCTGGATCTGAATGCATTCAGTGGGGCAGTCTAAGCAAAAACATGTGTCTCCTGTGGGAAGGCTCCAAAAGCTAATTGATTGCAAGAAATCACTGCATTTATCAGCCAAAGAACTTCTGAGCCTGGACAGCATCTCTTGTGATGTCAGGGCACAAGGGAATGCAGCTCCGGCTTCAGGGCCGCCCAGAGGATTCAGGGGGCCTGGGGTCTTAGGCGGCGGGTCCCAGAGCGGAAGGACCCCCCGCCGCCGAAGACCCAGAGCGGAAGAAGCTCTGGGGGCCTGGGCCCCGCGAGAGTTTTCCGTGGCCCCCAAGCGAGTGAAGGACCCTGCTCCAGGGCCCCCGAAAAACTCTCGTGGGGGCCCCTGTGGGGCCCGGGGCAAATTGCCCCACTTGCCCCCCCCTCTGGGCGGCCCTGTCCGGCTTAGAGAGTCATCTCCAATGGAGCATGGGAGGGTGTGGTATTAGCCAATACTGTAAAAATGGGACTCAGGAGATCTGCCACCAACTTCCTGTGTTGTCTAGGGCACTTCTAAAAAGAAGTTTAAATTTCAAGCTTTTCTCTGTAACTATGAGGAATTAACTATGAGTGTTAATTAACACTCCCCCCCACCCCATCAGCTTCCTATTTGAGAACTAATTACTAGTAGAGTGATCAGAGTGAAGGCTCACCCATTTGCACCCTGCACTCTGTCACAGAGGGGCTGAGAATCTAGGTGAAAAGTCCCACAGAAAAAACAATAAATAAATAGTTTTGAGTGTGTTGGGTGGTCAGAAAAACTACTATTTATTGTGTAAAAGACTAGGGGAGTGTTCCGTTAAATAGTTTGTGAACCATCTAGTGATGCTCAGGGTGTTCTATGTTATAAAAGCTGCCAGAACCCAACCAGAGCACCCAGCATACATATGTAATGATGCCTTGAATGTTGTGTTTTTTCAGTAACTAGGGTTATTTGGACCCTACTGTGCCTCTGTGGTGCCTTCATATTATGTTTGCGGTGTAAAAGGCAAGAGAAACAACATTATTTAGAACTGGCCTGGGGGTGTTTGGAATCATCTCTGTGCTCTTTAGTGACGAAGATAAAGGACTTCCTCTCAATAAGTCAAAAACAATTCCAGGAGAGGGATCTGGGTTCTTTCCTAGTCCTGCGTCAGTGGAATTGTTAACTAAGTTCATTTGCAAAATCTTTATTATTGGTGATGATGCAAGAACCAGAGAGAACCCACCTTGACTCTCAGAGTGAGCTTATGGGGCTGATTAATGGGGGGGGGGGGGGGGAGGTGAAATCTACTCCCTTTTACTTGTGAATTGAGTAGAATTCAGTGTTACCAACTCTCAGGATTTTATTGTGACACTCATAATCTTTGTTGTTTTTCTTAAAGCGTCAGCTCCTGGAGTCAAGTGATTATGTGAGACTCCCAGCTTGAATTTTTTTTTTTAAGTATGATTCCTCATAGTTACAGAGAAAAGCTTGAAAACATGACCCCACGGGGTTCAAAGTTCAGAAGGCAAATCAAAAGAACCCCACATTTATTGTTTTACAAATCTCATGTTTTTAAAGCCAAATCTCTTGATTGTTTGAGACCTGACACTTGATTTTTGCAGGCTTGGGGTTGGAGATACTGAGATTTGCTTGAGGTCACCGAGACAAAAACAGGGAGCCCCCTAGACCTTTTCCAGGGTTGTCGCTGCATTTTACATGTAGTGGTTGATTCCAAAGATTTTATTGCCATTTTACATTGTGGCTGTGACTCAAGGCCAGCATCTTTAAGTGCCTTGTCTTCCTAAACACAGAATGAAGAGAGGAGAGCTCTTTGATTACCTCACAGAGAAAGTCACCTTAAGTGAGAAGGAAACCAGGTATGGTGAGACAGACTTGAACAGCACAGTGGTTCTGCCAGCATTTCCACCTGGACAAACAGTGGCACTTTGGACTCGCTAGTTGCAAGCTCCCCCATAAGGTCTCCAGGTCTGAAATGGGGTCTCTCACAGCCCAGGTTTCAAACCTTTCAGTTCCTGAGTTTGCCCAAAACTACTGTTCTCCGCTGGCAACTTGTCAGGAGTGCAAGGGGTTGCACTTACAGGCACCTTTTGGTCCACACCCAGCTTCAATGGAACATAAGGACAACCAGTGTCTGTTCCTAGGGCCAGGTGGCAAAGCTCACTCTCAGGCTACTGAATTGGACACTGGGGTTCAGAGCTACAGTGCTCATCCCGTTGCCTAGAAGCAGGATGAGCTCAGTGTGTCTCCATCATTCTCAGGCTGTCTGTGGGGAGAGGAGAAGAGGGTGTGGGATCTCTTTTTGGAGGGGTTGCTTGGCTGAAAGAGGACTTATCTCCCCCACCCCATTATCATCCCCTCTAGGAAGATCATGCGTGCACTGCTGCAAGTGATCCAATACCTCCATTCCATGAACATCGTCCACAGAGACCTGAAGCCGGAGAACATTCTCCTGGATGACAACATGAACATCAAGCTGATGGACTTTGGCTTCTCCTGCGAGTTGAATAGGGATGAGAAGCTCAAAGGTGGGATGATTATTTGATCACAGCAGTCAAAGGAGGAGAAGACCTTCTAGATTGTCTATCCCCTTGGCAGGGCAGGCTTGCTCCTTCAGTCTATACGCCAGTACTTTGTCAAGCCTTGCTTTAAGCATCTTAACCGATGGGGCTTCTACCACTTCCCATTATATTGACTTCTCCTCTGGAAGTTCATCCTAAATTTTCTCTCTTGATTTCTACTAGTTGCTCCTAGTTACACACTCCTATGACATCCCATACTAGCTTTCCCCCCCATCACAATCTTACTTGCAGATACTAGTTATTTCATAACCCATTGGGATGAGATTATTCAAAGGCACAAATGGCTGTTTGGCTTGGTCACTCTTCTCCTTGCCCACATTACAGGTTATAACTGGATATTGGACTCCCCTGATAAGATACCAATGAAGTGTCATTAAGGGCTATGTAACACACACTGGAAACATTCTGTCCATCAGCAGCCGCTCAATGAATAGCTATTTACTGGTTACAGGGTGGTACAAACCTCTGCAAATTCACTGATGTTAAAGTGAAAAGTTCCATCCCTTTCTTGCAGAAATCTGTGGCACTCCTGGTTATCTAGCACCTGAAATATTAGAGTGCTCCATGGATAAGGGCCATCCAGGGTATGGAAAGGAAGTTGACATGTAAGTAGAACATTCATATGTAGTGACAAATTTTCCTAGTACCTGGAGTGAACATCTCCTCCCTTTGCAATGGGGTTTACTTCTGAAATTCTCATGCTTTTGGACGCTGGGAAAAGCAAGAGGAGCTCATACAAACTAGTCTCCAAGGATAAGAGATCTGAATACCAGCCACAACTGGCTGGGGTCAGTGAAGAGGTTATACAGTGCGCAGAGCGAATGACATGGGCTAATGGTCTACACATATGACAGCGAGCCAGGAATATCAGATTTTTAATCCCAGCTCTAACAAATTCTCTGCCTCAGTTTCCTCATCTTTGCCTATTATTTGAGCATACAGTGCTAAAGAAGTAGTATTATTTACCATCAACTGTCTATACCAGGGGGATAACAACCCTGCTAACTAATCCTCACAACACCTGTGAAGCAGGTGAACGGGAGTTTTGAAGGGGAATAACACATAGGTCCAGATCCATAAAGGTATTGAGGTACCTAACTTCCACTCAATTCAATTTGGGCTTTAGTGCCATGTAGGTGAAAAGCACTAACAGTCATTAATAATAATGAGCGGTGCACGATTGGGTGCCCAAAATGGTTCTTTGCCTTTTCACACTGACAAGCCCTGAAATTGGGTTTTATACACCCACTGAGAGCGCAGTCAGAAAACAATGCTCTTCTAGGGCCTGATCCCGTTCCCGGTGAAGCAAATGGGAGCTTTGCCATCGACTTTAATGGGCGCAAGGCCAGGCCTGTGCAGATTAGTAACTGTAAACAGACACGTGAGCTGCCTTCTCAGCTCTCTTCTTGGGTGAGTCACCTGAATTAAACCGGGCACCTGACAAGCCTCATGTGTGCAAAGGACATTTGCTGTGCAAGGTTCTCCCATTCCTGGCTGACCAGCCGTGACAGAGCGACTCCAGCACACTCCCCACTGACAGCACAGGCTTGTAAGGGGCTGACTCCTGAATTACACTGCAGTCCAGTCCAGACAGCTGACTCCTGCACTGCAAGGATGGGGCTGGGGGGCAGACAGGGCTAACTGGCTTTACCAGTGATAAGCCTGAAAGGCAAAATATCCCTCTCTCATGGTCCACCAGAACTTCCCCCCAGTCTAAAGCAGTGAAATCAGAACAGGTCCCGAATAAAAGTCTCTAACTCACAGCTTCCCTGGGCTAGCACAATGGCTCTGGTGAGCAAGGAGGACCACTCCACTCTTCTGCCTCAGCATCTACTCTGGCTTCCTGTTCTTTCCCACACAGAAGAAGTCATAGGTTGTTTCTCCTCCTACACAGCCCCTTACCCCCCCCCAAGCTTCCTCCTTATGTGCCTAACCTAATGAGCCCCACCTGAGGGAACTCTTCCCTCCTCCTTACCAGCTGAGGCAGTTTTTCACAGGTGTGGCCTATTCTGCCAACCCTCCCCTCTCCCAGCTTGATGGAGTGTGAGGCTCAAACACCCCAGCGTAGGCCCGAACCCGGCTCTGGCCTCCAGTTTGGTAACTGGGCCCTATTTGTCTAATAAGCCGAGCACCCCGGAGACATTTGACACGCAGCTCTGGATCAGGATTTTGCAGTTGATGCCTGTCTCGGCTTCCTTGTCATGAGCGATACTAATGAATGTGCCCAGGGGACTGATACCGGTCTGCTCTGCCTTTGGCAGGTGGAGTAGTGGTGTGATCATGTACACCCTGCTGGCTGGCTCGCCGCCCTTCTGGCACCGGAAGCAGATGCTCATGCTGCGGATGATCATGAGCGGGAAGTACCAGTTCAGCTCTCCAGAGTGGGATGATCAGTCAGACACAGTCAAAGATCTGGTGAGCGCTTACTTGCCGTGGAAGGAATGGGAGAAACAGGGAATCTCTCCAGCTTTACTAGTGGGGTAGGGTGGCCTGGTGGATGCAGTAGTAGCATGGGGATTCTACTCCTGGTTCTGCCCTGTGTGATCTTGGGCAAGTTACTTAGTCTCTGTGCCTCTTTCCCCCCCTCCCACCTTTTATCAGTCTTGTGAGTATAGCCTGTAAGCTCTTTGGGGTAGGGACTGTTTCTTACTGTGTTTATACAGTGCCTAAAGAAATGACACCCCAATCTTGGGTAGGGCCTTTAGGCTCTACTGTCATACAAATAATAACCCTCAAAGTATTTCTAGATTCTGCTCTTATGCAATCTCGAGGCCTGAGGAACCAAAGACAGACAAGAATCCAGTAGTGGGGACACCTGATGGAATGCTCCTGGGACAGGGTAACAATAAGGAGAGAAGGGCACGTCCGTCTGTGCCAATCCGTCTGACTGTGCCTTCCTGCAGATTTCCCGGCTCCTGGTGGTGGATCCTAAGAAGCGCTACACAGTCAACGATGCGCTGGCCCACCCGTTCTTCCAGCAATATGTCGTGGAGGAAGTACGGCACTTCAGCCCTTTAAGGAAACTTAAGGTAACAGAGTTTTTTTAGATCCTTCCATCAGGACTGGCTGACAGTGACATTTCAAATATGTTAGGAGCGAGATCGCATACAGCCTTCAGCTGGTTTATTATTTATTCATCATGGTCGATAGCCACGGCTCCAACACTGATTCGACTGCTAATGAGGGTGAAGGATCAGGCTCTTAAAGATGAGCCCAAACCATAACTAAGGAGCCAAACTTTGGGACTGAATTTTGTAGCCTGGGTTCATCTCTAATTCACAGGAAGTAATAGGACTTAAACAAAACGGATCTATCCAGTAGATCAGTGCTTTAGAGAGACAATACAGTGCAGGTACTTAATACATTATAGATGACCAGAAGGAGGCCAGTTTCAAAGCAGTGCCCATGTAGTTTATTTTTTGATATATCCCAGTGGGTTTAACACTGAAATTCTTAATGGAAGAAGCGTGTTACACAGAGGGATTTAAACAAGGAAAAGGTAGACTGGGCCACAAAATGGCAGATGAAAGTTGGTGTTGATAAATGCAGAGGAATGCATATTGGAAAACAATCTCAACTATACAGACAAAATGATGGGGGGCTAAAGTAGATGAAAGAGCTCAAGAAAGAGTTCTTGGAGTAACTGTGGATGGTTCTCTGAAATCATCCACTAAATGTGCAGCAGCAGTCAAAAAAGCAAACAGAACGTTAGGAACCATTAGGAAAGGGATAAATAGAAGATAGCAAATATCATGCCATTATATAAATGCATGGTATGCCCACACCTGGAATATTTGTGCAGTTCTGGTCTCCCCATCTCAAGAAAGAAATAGATTCACAATAGAAAAAATACAGAGAAGGGTAACAAACATTATTAAAGGTATGAAACAGCTTCCATATGAGGAGAGATTAAAAACACTGGAACTGTTAGGCTTGGAAAAGAGATGACTAAGGGAGGATACGATAGTCTATATAATCATGAATGGCATGGGGAAAGTGAATGAGGAGGTGTTATTTACCCCTTTGCATAACACAAGAACCAGGGGTCATCCAATGCAATTAATTGGCAGCAGGTTTAAAACAAACAAAAGGAAATACTTCTTCGCACAAACATGTTCAACCTGTAGAGCTCATTGCCAGGAGATGTTGTGAAGGCCAGCTTCAAAAAAGATTAGATAAGTTCATGGAAGATAGCATTGACAAACCTATTAGCCAAGATGATCAGGGATGCAATCCCATGCTCCAGCTGTTGGGGCTGGTCGACTGGATGACAGGAGATGGATCACTTCATAATTGCCATGTTCCGTTCATTCCCTTTAAAGCATCTGGCACTGGCCACTGTCAGAAGACAGGAAGATACTGGGCTAGATGGACCATTGGTCTGACCCACTAAGGCCATCCTTATGTTAATGAATCAGTTTAAATTGATAGTCTGTTGATTAATTTCAGTTTTCCAAAGCACTTGCCTTTTCACATGAACTGGCTACATTTCATTTCAGGTCATCTGCCTGACAGTTCTGGCATCAGTCCGCATCTATCATCACTATCGGAATGTCAAGCCAATTACCAGGGAGGTAATGATGAGAGACCCCTACGCTCTGAAACCCATTCGCAAACTGATTGATGCCTGTGCCTTTAGAATCTATGGACACTGGGTGAAGAAAGGAGAAGCACAGAACAGAGCAGCCCTGTTTGAGAACACTGCAAAGGTGATTTTGCTGAGCTTAGCCGCGGAGGAAGCGTTATTTTGATTTATCCCTGAGTAAAACTGCTTCAGCACCATCTTAGCTTAAGTTTGTAAGAGCTAAGGCGAGCAGACGCTCTGAAAAACTAACCGCAGTCTCCTTTATGTTTTCCCAATAAAATCTCAGTAGATAATATTAAAACCCAGGGTGCGCCAAACCCTGACATCCTTATTTGGCCTTCAAAAGACGCCATGTGCACAAACCTCTGCAGAGCCCCATCCAACTTCAATGAGTTTTGCCTGTGTAAGGCCCCCGTGCTTTGGCCTTGCCAGACCGATATTCAACTTTCCTACAAAATTACATTTAAGGGCCTGGTTTTTTTAGAAGTGGCCTCTAATTTTGCAGCTGTAATTAACAGTGTGTGTAAATATACCCTCAGATCAGGCAGGTGAACATCTTAAACGCCAGCATTTGTGCCCCAAATTAATTCCACCGGAATGGGGTTTTTTTGGGGGGGGGCGGGGGGAGGGCTGGAATGAATTTCAGGCACAAAATTGGTCACCAAGATGAGGCACTTTTGAAAAAGAATAGAGATGGGGGCCCAAGCAAAAGCCTAGCTGTGGCATTCGGGTACAGCTCCAGCTCTGAACATCACAGCTCTGTCTTCTCTTTAATGCAGAGGGAACCAATAGAGGATGCAAGAACAATAGAATACACTTAGGGCTTCTCCTATAGGAACCACACCCTTTCATTGGCAGGATGGGCCATGCTCCCCCGAGCTGTGGTAACAGAAGGATGCGAGCGAGCACCCTCACACCTGTGGGAAATCCTCGCCAGCAGTGGTGGCAATATTTTCTGTTATTGCTGTTTGCTACGATCAGGCTCATGTCGCTCTTGCTGGTGCCCTCCTGCTTACATCTAGGCAAACCTTTGCACCTGCCCCAGTGCAGTCAGTGGAACTCCATTTGGGCGCAGAGGATCACCCTTGGGAAGCAACTTGCCGGATTGGGGCCTCGGTGTCTGGCCCAGACCAGCCTGAGGTTTCAAAGCCTCGCTTTCATTTGGTAGTGGGCACGACCTGTTCTGGGACGACGGTAGATTGGCCGTTGAATTGTTAGAGGCAAGGTAAAGGCAAAGATAATGAGTTTGGGGCACAATCGAACACCATCAGGCCAAGGTAAGCAGTGGGGTCACAGCGGCAGGAGGGAATCTAAATTAGATGCGGAGCTGCGTAAAAAATAAATCAGTGTGATGTCAGCAAGTTCAGGGAGAGGAGGAGTGAAGGTGAGAGGCAGGGAGGAAAGGGGACAGGGGTGTGGAAAGCAGCTCCACCAATGGGACGCTTGCAAAATACTAACCAGTTACATTCAATTGACTGAGGTTAAAAACCACACGAAGAAGCTGGTCAAGCTTTGTTTTTACAAGGCGGATGTTGCTATTAGAGACCCATGTTTCCAAGCTTCTGGGCCCAGCCTTCACCAGCAGGACCTTAAGGTAAGGTGGCTGATCCCACATCACTTTCGAAAATCAAGTCTTTCAGGGCACGAATACCCTGGTTTGGGTGCCGCACTGCAAAGATGAGTGTTCACTGCCTGTTTTGCCATCTGTAAAATGAGGCTAATGATGCTGACCTCGCTTGTAAGGTGCTTTGAGAGCGACTGATGAAAAGTGCTGTATAAAGGCTAGGTATTATCCACTGAGCTCTCGCTTCATTTAGCTTTGGGGCTAACACATTTTCTACTCTATTAAGAAAAAATGTCTTCCCCCCCCCACCCCCCAGGCTGTAGTACAATTGGCAATTTATAACTCAGCCTTTAATACAAGCTGAGGAAACCTTCCCTGCCTGCTTGTCCACCAAACCCTGAAAATAAAGAGAGAAGCTTGTGACAAAACCACCACCCTCAAATTTGCGTCAGTAGGAAAAAGTGGACCTGTCCAAATCCCCCAAACGGCAAAAACATGTGAAACAGTGTGTGAAAACAGCAATCAGAGCCTTCATCTTAATGGACTTGATTGACTCCTTCCATCATGGATGGGGCATATTCTGAAGGGTGACTAGCATCTCACATAGCACTCTTCCTAGCCACCAGATTCCATTATGCCATTATCCCTGCCAGCCTTAGTTACTGCTATTATAACCAGTCAATCTATAAATGACGCCTTAAGCGCGACAGATGTTTTGTTTCCAAAGCTTTAATGCACTATGTTGAAGAGCAGCAATTCATTTTATGCATCTACACCTTGGGCTGAGTTTTTAAACAGCCCTTGAGTGACGGAAAATGCACATTGCAGCTAACGGTGACCTGTATACTGCATGTGTATTTAGGAGACATTTTAAAAGATATAGGGCTAATACACAGACCTCACATTGGTCAAAATGGTCAAGGGCTTCAGTTTATTTATGTCGATTTGATCAGTGCATCTGTACATGGTTTTGTAAACTGTTTACATGTCAATAAATAGGCTTCATTTTACTTAGCTGGTGGGACGTTGCATTGTTAAGCTGGTGCCTATTGTATTCTTACTATCAAGCAACATAGTATTAGGCTGGGATTTGCAAAGGGGCCTAAGGCATTGGCAGCCAGTGGGAG